GGCTACTGCCAGGATGGCTGCACCAAGGAGGACTTCGACCGACGCAGGGCCGTGGAACTGAAGCATGGACGTCTCTGCATGGTTGCCACCATCGGCATGGTGTGGCCTGACATTTTTGGCAAGTTCGATGGCTACCTGTCCCCATCCCAAAATCTGAAGTTTGCCGATGTGCCGTCGGGAATCGCAGCCGTGACGAAGGTTCCTTTGGAGGGTTGGTTGCAGATTCTCTTGGTGGCCGGCCTCATCGAGACCCAGCTCCTGAAGGACCAGTCCTTCGGAGGCTTCGGCTATGCAAAGTACGGTGCAGAGCCCGGCAACTTCGGCACTGGTTACTGGGGCAGGAAGATCCAGGACCCTGCCGAGCGGAAGCTCAAGCTGACCACCGAGCTCAACAACGGCAGGCTTGCGATGATTGCCATGTCCGGCATGCTGATCCAGAACGGCCTCACTGGTCAGTCCCCAATTGAGCAGCTCACCGCTGGCCACATCTCGCCCTTCAACGATGGCCAGGGCTTCTTCGCCTTCGACCCTTCCGCGGAGCTTGGTGCTTGCCCTCCTCTGGGCTACTGGGATCCCTTCGGCATGATGGCCTTTCAGGATGAGGAGAAGTTCCGCCGCAACCGCGAGCTGGAGCTTAAGCACGGAAGGATTTGCATGGTCGCCACCATTGGGATGATCGTGCCAGACCTGTTCGGCCGCTTCGGTGGCTACCTCTCACCCTCCATGGATCTCAAATTCTCGGATATCCCCTGCACCATTGAGGCTATCTACAAAGTCCCCACCTTTGGCTGGTTGCAGATCTTTGCTCTTGCAGGCGCAATCGAGGCCAAGAACCAAGCCTTCCCGGAAAACTATGGCTACCCTCCATTCTGGGGCCGCATCAACACCCTTGAACCCGAGGAGAAGCAGAAGAAGCTTCTGGCAGAGATCAACAACGGCCGCCTGGCTATGGTTGCCATGGCCGCGATCGTGGCGCAGAACGGGGCCACGGGCCAGTCTCTCGTCGAGCAGTTCACGACCGGGAACCTGAACCCCTTTGTCGGCGGCTACGCGCAGCGCGAGGGGGATGCAAAAGACAAAGTTGCACTCAGGGCCGAGTTTGGCTCTGGTGCTGGCAAGTCCACGGCCATCCCTTGGGACCCTATCCCAGAAGGCCTCAGCAATGACATCTTCAACAACACCTATGTGGGTGATGTCGGCTTCGACCCTGCAGGCCAGACTTGTCCGTGTGCAAGAATTCAATCCCTTCCTGCCTTGCACCGTGCGCCCAGGTTTCGCCAAGAACCAGCGCCTGCTGCCTTGGTACCGCGAAGCAGAGCTTGCGCACGGACGTGTTTGCATGCTGGCAGTGCTGGGCTATACTGTGCCCTGCCTCCTCCACTTCAAGTCAAGACTGGCTTGCAAATCTGTGAGTTTCATAGAGGGGTGAAGAAGACCTTAGCTGAGGTGCAGACTTCTGGCGCCAAGTTCGAGCCTTTCATCACCCGATATCCAACGGACTCTGCGGACCCTCTGAAGGCAGCGACACAGGCGGGCAAGCGCAGAACTGGTGCACCTTGCCAAATCTTGCCTAGCCTTGTTGCACGGGGACAAGCATGGGCCTTGTGTGGCAGGTGCCGATTGTCGGCTGGCTTCAGATCATCGTTGTGATCGCACTGTCCGAGCTCTGGCGTTATGAAAATGTGCCTTGGCAGGAAAGGGTCGAAGGGCACTGCAGAGGTGTTCTGTTCTGCTCAGGTCATCAGCAAGTACTCTCAGGGCGTCCAGCCCGGTGACCTGGGCTGGAACCCGACGGCGCCTGTGAGCAGCCCTCGGCCCAAGTGGCGTGCATCTCAGAAGTCGCTCGGGGGCGACGTTGGCGAGGGCCGGGCCGGGATGTCTGTTGAATTTGAGGTTTGGTCCCACCTTCACGGCTGCATACCAGCCAGAGGAGCTTTCGTTTGTGCCTTGTGAAGGAGAGGTCTTTAACTCTGAGTCGGTGTAGGTTAATGGGCTTTGGGGCTGGTGCATGTTTCAGCTTGGAGGAGTGGAACAACATGAAGCTGCGTGAGATCAAGCATTGCCGTTTGGCGATGGTGGGCTTCTTCTTCATGGTGCTCCGGAATGCATCCACAGGCGAAGGGCCTTCGCTGCTCCCCAACTTGACGACGGCGGAGTTCCAGTCCTCCGTCGGTGACTTCATTCCCAGGGACATCTGAGAGATTCGAGAAACCAGGCCTGCNNAGCTATTCTTTTTTCACTACTTACTGCAATGCTTCCGAGAAGCCGGATTTGCATCAAGTTTGTTGTGACTCTGAGCACTCTTGCCGTAGTTGCGCATCAATGCAGACACGATGCTTCCTAGACTCCAGTTTGCAGTCAGTCTCTGCTTCGGGAGCATGGCGCCAGGAAAGGCGCTTGCGATTCTGTAGCTCTGCAAGCTACCCATGTCTCTAGCTACAACTGTCCAGCGGACTCTGCGGGGGCAGCACGCGGCATGTCTCGGAGCCGCGGGTTCCAGATGGAGTAATGTGTGACAATGCAATGTCCAGGCCCCACTTTGTGCAGAGATTGTTTTACCTTGCCTGCAGATGTCCCCGAGCATGGAACCCTAGTCACAACACTCTTCAGGACTTTCGTGAATAATATGGTGTGTTCAATGAGATCTTGCTGAAATATACAGAGCTCACGGAGCTTCAACAGTTTTCAAACCGGAACGTGATGTACAACTGATTGAGACTACTTGTTTGATCACGAGCACATCTCCTGTTACATCCTGAATCGCTGGCTTGCTGCGAGAGCAAAAGAGACATGCGGCATCTGACAGCACTGACAGTTAGGTCGATCGTTGTTGTTGGTTGTTGCTAAGTGAGGCCTGAGCGTCAGCTGCGAAACCATCGACGTGAGTGGCGCGGCGTCCTGCAGGCAGCACTCCACTGCCCCATATTACCCATGCATGACTTGTTGCGACGATCGCCTTCTTGGCCCAGCATACCGGGCCTCGTCAACGAAAAACATGGAAACAGAAGGTTATCGCATGTCTCCCAGAAGCAGGAACCTTTGCCGCAAGATTCTGAATGCGTGGCCGCTGCTTACGGTCGTGAGAGTGCGCTATGGCCACAAGAGTGAACCAAACAGAAGTTTGTGTCGCCTGCTTCGCAGGCACTGCGAGCCTGGCGGCCCCGCGGCTCAAATATGAAGGACAGTGTAACAGTGTAACAGACTCGTTGCAGGCTGTGACAGCGTTCGGAAGCGTGTTTACCAATCATGCGTCACAGATGTTTTCTTACCATGCTGTCACCTTCGAACATTCGAGCAGTGAGCAGCCGAAGTTGGCCGCACCTTTGGGCTGCACAGGCTGTGGTCTTCCAGGGACGGCTCTCGTGTCCTCTTGCCATGCCGGCCATGTCCAAGATTTCAGCCTTCGCCGCCGGCTCGGCAGTTGCTGCGACGGCCTTCGTTGGGGTGCCGTCCACGAGGCAGTCTGCCGGGCCCACCCTCCGTGGCACTCAGAGGTCAAACACAGGTGCAGCAACGGGTGCCAGCATCGGAATCGGTGCCATCAGTGCCATCGGCTTAGCCGCGTCAATGGCACGTCCTGCCGCCCCGACTGCAACATCCCGTGGTGGTGTCGTTCGCTGTGCCTACGATGCCTCCAACGAAATCGGTGCTTGCGACCCTTTGCTCTTCTGGGACCCGGTCGGCTACTGCCAGGATGGCTGCACCAA